CTTTTTAAGTAATATTTCACCCATCTTGAAAAACTTCTAGACTTGATGTCGTGAGGAGAACCTACACAAATATTCTAAGACTAAAAAATTATTTTCTTTTGTGCGAGTCAAACAGGTATTTAGGTAAAGTACCGATGGGTCAATATTAATTTTATCTTTCATAATCACTTTAAAGGAAATGGGTTTCCTTTATAAAAAATATATATATATATATATAATCGCAATTAATATTTTTAATATTTTTTTTTGCTCGTATATGTTAATGAATCACGTCGTTACAATCATTATGATAAGATGTTTTATCATAAAACACTTCGTCTTTTCAAGTAATAAGCATGTTAAAGACATTATAATGATCATTTGTTTAGCAAATGAAATAGTAATAATTAATGTTTGAAGAATAATCGTAGTCTCTATTAAAATTAAGTTTTACGTCCTTTCTAACCTTATTTTATTCTCACCAAAATCCCCTATGCTTAGTTTTGAACTCAAGGAAACATAATAAAGTCAAAGAAGTAAGTACGATTCAACATTTGATCTAAATTATGACTCTTCTTACGTATCGTAATTTTATACTCATATAGTATCTCTCACTCTTTTTGCTTCCAACCCTGTCAAGCTGTCCTTGTACGCAGATAGTCATTATCACGAGTTTGAACTTTAATACAGTAACCTTTTTTTGTTGTTTTATTCAATTGAAAATATTCTAATTCTCTGCTACTTATGTAAAAACGAAAAAAAATTCCAACTATACCTCCAATTCGGAAGGGAAAAAAATAAGCATAATAAGAAAGCTTCTAGCCTAGCTAGTAGCTAGCAGTTTTATTATCATATGAAATAGCCCTAATACTATACAGATAGCATGAAATATAGGGGAAATGAGGAGAAAATGACTTTAAAAAGGCCATTTTGTTAACTTATAAGTAACACTTTGAAGATTTATGACATATAGTACGTAACAATAAAGGGAAACAAGAAACTTACAGAAGGAACAAAAATGAAGAACCTCTTGTCTATTCTGCACTCAAATCCTTAGAATTCCTGCTGAAGCCATCAAAACAAAGGAAACACTTAAGTTTATGGAGTCACTTGATTAGCTTTAAATTAAACTCAAATAAACATAACAATTGACTAATTAATCAAGAAAATTTAATTTTTCACTGTGAATGAGGTGGGGTAGCTATGGTATAGCTTGTTTAAATTAATACCAATTTGAATCAAACATGTGGCTATGATAGTGGGAATGAAATTGCCTTTCAGCAACATTAATGAGTAAACAAGAAATTCATTGTTAATTAGTGATTAGTTTTTGGTTAACACGTATTAGTCTTTCATTGAAAGAGCTTGGCATGCGTTTAAGCACAAAAGAAAGCTCTAAATGTCACCTTTTTGCAACTAAAAAGATTGGTGGAGGGTACGTGTTGCATTTACTTTGGTTTATTTTGATTAAAATATGATGATTGTATTTCTATTTTTTAAGTAGTACGGGTAGTTCTACTCATTTGATTTCAAACACAGTTCCTAAGCCATGTTTTAATGATTGACAACATTTTTACTTTCTTCTTTTTCGTTACTTTTCTAGATTATCTTGCCGGGAACTTGGACATGTGTCAAGACAAACCAATACTCTTTTGAGAAGAAAAGAATTGGTATTATTTCAAGAGAGAAAGGATTATTCATCGTCAAGAGGCACTTTTTTTATGTGTTTGATATATTATCTGAAATATTGAATCCTATTAGCTACTGAAAGGGGCGGATCGGGCGGATAATTACACTTAGCGGTTCGGCTTAACGGTTATTGGATTATAAATATAGTAATTCGTTAACCATCCAATAAGACAACAGACAGATTAGTACCGGATTAACAATTATCGGACGGTTTATCGGCTAAACCAAATAAAAATATTTTGAACAATCATTCAATCAATACCAAATAGTTTCAAATCAATACCAAATTTTTAATACCATCTAAGATCTAACCAAACAATATTTTTTAATTGAAGAGTCTTCAAGACTACTCATAGTGCCATATACGTATTAACCAAATTTTTAATACCATCAAGACTACTCATACAAACATACACGTATTAATCATTGAAATTTCGATTTTTTGACTTCTCAGTTCTCAGTTCAAGAGAAAGACGAGACTGACGACTTCTTTGCCTTAGAAAATAGAAATTAGAGATTTAGCCATTTAAGGTTTCAATAGTACTTTATATACATAGGGGTAAAAGTGTAAATATAAAATTTTTTAACAGGTTAACGGTTTACCCGATAAGAAAATTGAGTAATCCGCCTCCAAACTGTTAAGCCGTTAATTATAAAATCTCAAACAGTTCACCATCCATTACCCCAATAATTCGATACCAATAAACCAATAAGTAATCGGTTCGGTTTTGAAAAGCCCTAGCTATTAGGATGTGTATATGCAGCTATTTGGGAACATCTTTGTTGCTAAAATTTATCATTTTGAAACAAATTTGTTTGAAGCTGCCAAATGAAATGGGTATAGTATAGCGGCGTTGGTGTCGTTGGTGATTTGCTGGAATTGGAGAAGATGGTTGTTCTTGGGATAAGGGGAATTGATGGGAATTTTCAGTGGTGGTGATCGAGGAATTTGGCTCATCTCTACGGTATCTCTCCATTTCCATATGTCTAATTTTAACGACAGACTAAACTATGATTAATCTAGAAAAAAAATTCAAAACCATACATGATATTTGGCTTTAGACTTAAAGTCATACTTATTCTTTCACATGCAGCACTAATAGTACATTTATTTTAATAAAGTGGTGCACTTTTAGTCATAATATTAAGAAAAAGCCAAAAAATATACATTATCTTTGTTTTAGACTCAAAGTCATACATGTTTTTCCACATGTAGCACTAATAGTCCATTTACTTTAACAAAGTGGTGCATTTTTAGTCATAACACTAAACAAATTTTAATTTTTAACAGAAATCTAAGATCTAACAAAATATATGTTCCCTTTATTTTCTTGTTTACCGAAAGAAATAAAGATGACAGATTTATCTAGATAGCAAATAGTAAATATACATAGAATTTATTTACTATTTATCTATTTACTATACGTAAAATATACATTTTACTAAGAAATGTTAGACACCGTTAATTTTTATTTGCAATGATTTTTATCTAGATAACCTCAAACGTTATCTAGATTTTTTATTATATACATAATATTTACTATACGTTGACATAAAATAAATATACGTAAAATCATTGCTGAGAGTAAATAAATATTTACTATACGTTGACATATTATGTATATAATAAATTTTATGTCAATGTATAGTAAATATTGTGTATATAATAAAAAATCTAGATAACATTTGAGGTTATCTAGATAAAAATCATTCCAAATAAAAATTAACGGTGTTTAACATTTCTTAGTAAAATATATATTTTACGTATAATAAATAGATAAATAGTAAATAAATTCTATGTATATTTACTATTTTCTATCTAGATAAATCTGTCATCTTTGACGCGAGAATGAAGAAAAACAAAAGATTAAACAATTTACAAACTACTACAACAACAATGGAGAGTGGTGTTTGTTTAATTTAAGGGTATTTTGTCCCATTATTAATAATTTACTACGGGTTGGATAAGCTTTAAATAATTGTTAAGACTATGTATATCTTAAATAGTCCCTTAAAATAGGCTATTTGTGGGGAAAGTGTATTAACAACCCTTCTTAGGACTGCTATTTAGGAATTAGTCCAGACTTATTTTGTCCTGAAAATTTGAACTAAATTTTTTAATTTTAGGATAATTAAGGATATTTAGACATATTGACTAATTACTGAATAGTAATTCTTTAGAGTGGTTAGATGATGTCATTTCTAGGTGTGTTATTTGTGCATTTCTCCCCAAATTCGCGATTGGACACTAAAATATAGTAGAAGCGTAGCTCGGACCAACCTCTTAGCTAGTTATTCCGCTTTAGCTGGGCCGTTGGACACGTCCATTTTATGAATGAATTTAGCAATCACCTTCATCTACAAACCAATAAAGTTAAAAGGAAAAGCCAATTAAATAGAACAACTCTTCTAATTAACTTTGAAATCGTTTAAAGTTCTCCTTAAGTATTTTATTTCTCATTACTCAAATTGTTCAAACTAGTTTAGTTCTTTCTCTTGGACTTACTGTTTCGATGCACCATTGTAGTTCTCCAAGTCCGGGCAAAGGCGGCACGTTTTGAATTTTATGGGTTCTAAGCTTTAGGATAGTAACATCCGGTGTAAGTAATTATGTTCTAAATTTAATTGTGTACATTTTATTAAATAAATTTCTCAAAATAAATATAGAATTTGTATTAAAGTTACTAGGTTCAACGGAACCCGTAGCTTACATTCTAGCTTCGCCCTTGAGTCCAGGATGCACCACCGAATTAGAGGCGACGAGGGGTGCTAACCCGGCCACCCAACCCATTATTTACTATTTTCTTTTTATCATTTGTCCATCGATCGTTTTCTTTAATTTATTTTTATGTAATCTATGTTCATGTTGTCTGCTAAAGTTTGGTGATTAAGCACCAACAGAAACCCTAACTACGAGGGAGAAGAGAAGGAAGGAAGAAGAGGGGAGTTATATGAGAGAGGAGAAAATTAATGAAACNATATATATAACACAACTAATATAACTAACTAACTAATCAAGCACCTCATTAACCACTAACTAGCTAACTAATCGATCATACATAAATATACTAAACTACCCTCATACACTCATTTTTCCTCAACACCCCTCTCAAGGTAGGTGGTATGAAGACATCAAGTACCCCTAGCTTGGATATCAGATAATCATGTTGTACTCTGGTTAAGCCCTTGGTTAGAATGTTTGCTAGCTGCTCCTCAATTTCCACATATTCTGTCTTCACCGGCCCATTATGTATCTTCTCTCTTTTAAAATGACAGTATAACTTAATATGTTTGGTGGGTTCACGGAACACTGGGTTGGCAGCTATTTGAATTTATATGTTACTATCTGTGTGAATGTTCACAGGAAGATCAACTGCTACCCCAATATCCTTGAACAAACCAAGTATCCAAATCAACTCCGCCTCTGTTGATGCAATGCTTTTGTACTCTGATTCTACAGGGCTCCCGGAGATAGTATTTTGCTTCTTTGACTTCCAGAACACTAAGGAGTCATCGTACTTGATAAAGAAGCCAGCTACTGATTTCCTAGTGAGAGGGCATGCTGCTCAGTCAGCATCACAATATGTTGTGATAACGTTCCTCTTCTTTCTAAATAGTAGTATGCCTTGTCCAGGCTTCCCCTTCACATATCTGACTACTCTTTGTGCAACTTCCATATGGAAACTCTTTGGTTTCTGCATAAATTGACTTAGTTTCTGAACACTAAAAGCCATATCTGATCTTGTGACAGTCAAGTAGAGTAACTTTCCTAGTAGCCTTTGGTACTTACTGTGGTATGCCAAGATTTCATCTTCTGTGACATTAGGGATGCAGTGTGTTCATCATATTCCTTAGTAGTCAGCTTGACATTGGTTTCAATAGGTGTGGATGCAGGCTTGCAGCTCCTAGTCCAAGTTCATAAATGAGCTCTAGTGTGTATTTTCTTTGATGCATTAGAATACCTTGCTATGATCTAGCAAACTCAATGCCAAGGAAATATTTCAAATCTCCTAATTCCTTCATCTTAAAAGCCAGGTGGAGCTTAGCTTTGACGTCACATATTAGTGTCAAGTTAGATCCAGTGAGAAGCATGTCATCCACATAGACCAAAATGATTATAGTGCTCTTGCATGTCCCATTTACAAACAAGGAGTGATCATGTTTACTCTGCATGAAGCCCAAGTGCACCAGTGCTTCAGATAGGTTAGTATTCCATTATCTTGATGCCTATTTAAGTTCATACAAGGATTTCAAGAGTCTGCATGTTGGTCTGATCTCCCCCTGACTCTAAAAGCCTTGTGGTTGATTCATATAGATCTCATTATGTAAGTCCCATTGGAGAAAAGTATTGTACATATACATCTGATGAATGTGCCAATGCTCAAATGCATCAACAACCAGAATTGTTCTGACTGTAACCATTTTAACTACTGGACTAAATGTCTCATGATAATCAATGCCCTTGTTGGCTATAACCCTTGACCACTAGCCTGGACTTGAACATTTCTACTTCTCTTGAGGCTTTGTACTTTACTTTGTAGATCTACTTACAGCCAATATGAACTTTGCTATCGGGTAAGGAGACCACATCGCAAGTATGATTAGATTCTAAGGTAGCAGTCTCATCCTGCATAGCATCTACCCACCTAAAATCTTTACCAACATCTTCAAAGGAAGTAGGTTCCATTATAGTAGAGAAAATAGCTAGATAAGCTTGATGCTTGAGAGAGAGCCTAGCATATGATACATGATTGGCAATAGAGTAACGCACAAACTTGTGTCGTGGCATAGAGACAAATTCTTTCATCCAAATAGGAGCCTATTTGGTCCTTAAGGATCTTCTTAGACCAGTGGAGTTCTGATCCTGAGAAGGCAAAGAAGATTGCAACACTTCTGATGCAAGGTGCTGTAGTGAGGTGTCCTACCTTGAGTTACTAGCTATATGGATATAGTTGACATGAGTGAAGGCAGGAGGGTGAAATGAGGTGTGTTCTTCATCATAAGTAGATGATCTAGTAGGCAAGAACACATGTGGTACTGAGAACAGAGATTCTTTAAAAGAAAAGACATCTTCCATGAAGGAGACATCCATGTTGATGAAAAAACAATGAGTGTCCAGATCCAGCAGTACATAGGCCTTTTAAGTATCACAAAAACCCATAAGAACAGTAGGCTTAGCTCTGGGAAGGAGTTTGTATGTTTCTTGAACTTGTTTGGTATAACACAAACAACCAAGAACTCTCAGATACTCTAGAGTAGGTGCTCTACCATACAACAGTTTAAAATGAGACATGTCGTTGAGGACAACAGATGGCATCCTATTGATAATATATACAGCTACAAGAAAATAATGACCCCAGTACTTAATAGGGATATTATCCTGAAATCTTAAGGCTCTAGTTACCTCCAGTATGTGCCTGTGTTTTCTCTCAGCAACTCCATTTTGCTGAGGAGTATAAGCACAGGTCTTCTGATGGATAATGCCATATTTTTGTAAAATGTGTTGTAGAAAGAGTTAACAAACTCATATCCATTGTCAGTTCTGATTGCCTTCATAGTTTTGTGAAACTGGGTTTGAACAAACACAATAAATTGTGCAAGTACAACACATACATCAGACTTTAGTTTCAAAAGAAATAACCAAGTCATTCTGGTGAAGTCATCAATAATTGTCAAAACATACTTGTTACTATCAAAGGTTGCATATTTGTAAGGGCCCCAAACATCCACGTGAATTAGATCAAATGCATCAGTGCTCTTAATACAACTAGTAGGGAATGGTAACCTGGTTTGCTTAGTACATGGACATACATTGTATTTATTTATAGTGTCAGTAATACTTGCTAGTTTAGAAGGAAATAGTTTTTTAAGAATCATACTAGAGACATGTCCTAATCGTTTATGCCATAGAGTAATATCAATATGAGAGTTAATATTTCTTGACTTTATTCTAGCAGCAGCTAAGAGACTGTAGTAAGCTTCGTGGCACCATGCTTCTACATGAAATACATACCATCTCTTTACCTACCAATCTCCTTAACCTTGCCATTGAAGAGATCCTGAAATACACAGAAATCAGGATAAAAGGAAGAAAATCATTTTAGGTTTCTTGTCACTTTGGAGACTGATAACAAGTTGAATTTGATCTGAGGTACATAGAGCACTTCTTTAATAGTATTTTTGTCTGAAATATGACTATCTCCAATATGAGTAACTTGAGTAACATCTCCATTAGGTAATAGAACTCTTCTAGGCTTAAAAGGTGTAATTAGGGAAGTTTTGGACAGTAAATTAACATCTGACACAATATGGTTAGTGGCATCTGTATCAATGATCCATTCCTATGAGCTAATGGATCCAAAAGAGCAGTATCAGTACCTGTTGCATTTTCCTGAGTAGGAGGAGTTGGGCTATTGTTCAAAATCAGCATTATCTGATCATATTGCTCCTTGGTGAAGGGACATTCCTTGTCAAAAAGTACTTGCTGATCCGTGAGGCTGTTAGGAGGAAGAACATGCTTGAGTCTGGGTGCCAGAGTTTCCTTGTCCCTGCAAGCCTTCAACAACTTAGCTCATATTATACTGATGGCCATGGTACACAAGCATGGATTGCATTGGCATAGGTTTCATTGACATGTTTTGAGAGACATGATTAGTATACAAAGGCACAACATGGCTAGGTTCTACCATTATATTGTAAGCATCAGATCCCCCTTTATTTTTGAACTTATAGTCTACCGGATACCTTATTATTTTGTAGCAGTTTTTCTTATTGTGACCTTTCATTTTACAAAACTCACACTGAACATTGTAATTTTTCCTATACTTTTGATTGAAATTAGGCTTAGCACTATACAATGCAGTGGAGTCATATGCATTTGTGGTTACAGTAGGAGAAGATCCTAACACTCCAGCAGAAACAACTACAACTCTTTGACTCTCATCACTCATGAGCATATCATAAGCTTGATTCACTGTAGGTAGAGGTTTCATCATAAGAATTTGACTACGAGCTTGTGAGTAAGAGTCATTTAATTCCATCGGGAATTGGTACACCTTCTATTTTTGTAGATGCACAATAAACTCTTTTTTCTTGCCATAGTCACAATCAGGAGTAGGTACTACATGCTTAGACTTATCCCATAGATCTTTGGGCTTTGAGTAATAAACAAAGACAGATGCAGTACCTTGATTCAAGGTGGGAATTCCTTTGTGCCCACCTTAATCAAATCGTTCGTACATATCCATCCACACTATTTGAGCACTAGTATCATATGCAATGCCACTAACTAAGGTCGGATCCACTGAATTCATCAACCAAGACAACACAATTACATTGCACCTTTCCCATTGATACTAGTACTTCTCACGAAACTGCTCCTTTGGCCGCCTGCCATCAACAATCCCAAGCTTATTGCGGCCAAGTAGTGAAATTCACATAGATCGATGCCATAGAGAGTAGTTATCAGTGCCAGTTAACTAAAACGAGATCAAGGAGATTCTACCTGTATCGCTGGGAGCTAAGTACAAATGATGAGTGAGTGCTACTATCACTCCTTCCTCAAATTCATCATCTGATGATACATGTGATACATTTTCAGCAGTAACGGTCGCATTTTCATGAGTTTTTAACCAAAATATCGAGGTCACAATTCAGAAAATAGAGCAAAGGATAGAGTGAGAATAAGAGGAGGATCGATTTCTAAGCTTCAATTAAGAGCTCGATGCTCTGATACTATGCTAAATTTTGGTGATTAAGCACCAGCAGAAACCCTAGCTATGAGGGAGAAGAGAAAGAAGGAAGAAGGGAAGAAGAGGGAAGTTATCCGAGAGAGGATAAAATGAATGGAACAGATAAAGTGTATTCTCATTCTCATTACACAACTCGTACACACCTACACACAACACACACACACACACAGTGTGTGTGTGTGTGTGGGGGGGGGGGGGCCTCAACAGAATTTAACTACTGTAATTGGAGGTCTCGATCTCGAGTTTGAGTTTGGAGAATGGATAAATTTTTAGTGGNGTGGGGGGGGGGGGGTTAATGAAGTGCTTGATTAGTTAGTTAGTTATATTACTTGTTAAGTCACACGTGTGTAACTAACTAACTAATCAAGCACCTCATTAACCACTAACTAACTAACTAATCGATCATACATAAATAGAATAAATTACCCTCATACTCAAGTCAGTCATTTCTCCTCAAAAATGTCAGTACCTATTCATCTAACTACTGAATTTTAGCATCGACAAAGTCGTAGATTTTTCTTTGTCCCAATATTGCGTTAGAACGGGAATGACCTAGATGCTCATGAAATCATTCTCACATACATGAGGCAGAGCTAGTGTGTACCCTAAGAGTATGACCGCATTCACTAATTTTGCTCTATATATTGAATTTATTTTTAAAATATTATTAAGTTTGTACAAATCATTACTAATATATGACGTAATAACTTATAAATAACTAGAATCTAAAACCCATAAAATTCATATCTTGTCTCAGTATCTGCGTGTTGTTCTACTTTAAATAATGGAAGGACTTCTAGGAATCACAGTAGGATTATAATTACTTGATTGAGACAAATAACAATACAAGACTTTGTTAGAACTTCTTGAATAACTTAAGGGGCTGTTAATAATATTATATTTGCATTGCAACACTTGGACCCAACTAGTTGGTTTTTCTTGCCCATTTAAAGCAACTAGGTTTTAGAAGCAACGAAAGAAAA